TCTAGAACAGAGCTGTATAAGAGAACGATGAGATCTCACACTGTTCTTATGGAGATATTACTCAGCTGAGACGAGTCAGACACTGAAGAGTTAATCCACATGTGGGACAAAATTTTGATCAAAGTGAGAAAATCTGAGTTTTATTTCTCAGGAGCTGAATTTCAGAAACAGGAGAAAACGGCTTTAATCTCACTCTGATCTCAAACTGGACTGAACTGTGTCCAGGAGAAGAGATCAAAAGGAGACCTCATTTAGAGTATTTCTCTCTTCTGGGTATGCTTATGCTAATAGCTATTAGCATGGTGCTAACTGCCTGCCTAAATCATCACATACTCTCCTGAAAAAGTGTGGAGTTGTTAAGTATCTCTAGTAGATGTTTTTACATGGTTTCTGATACTGAAATGGACAAAAGTGGACAACAGTGTCTTAGTCTGACTTTAGTCCATGTTTATAGATAACAGAGTCTTACAGTGTCAGAAACCACATCATCAATTCTGTTAGAGACACTGAACAGCTCCACACGCTTTGGGACAGGTGTGTGATGATTCAGGCCTGCAGTTAGCACTATGATAATAGCTAAGTGATGCTAATTCTGTTGCTGGTGAGCTACATTAGCCTCGCAGCTGGACTACTAAAATGAAAGAAGCAAATTTCAGACCCCAAACATGTCTTGACTGAGTGACCACATCTGGGAAAAAGGTGGGGGAGAAACTGTGTAAATTGAATTTTTCACCAAAAAAGCACCACAAAAGTGCAAAACCTATATTGTGCATTAAAGCTACGCAGATGTATGTTACGGTACGGTCAGGATTAGGCGGGTTTGTGTTGCTGTTGCATGTGGGGGGTGTTTTTAATTACAGAGGGTGATGTCAGCTTGTCATTAAGTGGGTAGAGGAGGATTTGGGGTGGACGCATGAGTGAAAGCAAAGGAATTACACACTCGGATTAGTGTGTGTATGTGATCATATGAGCGAGAGAGCTGCAGTGATTAGTTCCAGCCCTACAGCCTGCATAGCAACAGACGCTGCTGCTAGCAAAACAACAAAAATCAGCAAAACAACAGCAGGCCGCACAAACGTCACCGGCCAAACAACTTTTTCCATGTGGAGCAGGGCTATATAAACCGACAGGCTCTCCGCACAGGAGCAGATTTCCAAACCACTGCTGAGCGGAGTTTGAGTGCTTTTGAGGAGTTTTCTGGGCTTTTTCTTTTACTTTTCTGTGCCATGTTAGCTCAGTCATGGTGATTTTACTGGCTCCAAATGTGTCTTCCCTGCTTTCAGTCTTTAAGACCAAAGGTGGGTGCTGATTTATATACCGTGGACTTTTGTTTATAGTGCCAAACATCTTAAAAGTGACAGAATATTAATGGAATTGACCGTTTCTGGCATCTTTAACACTTTAAGGACACTCTCTTGAATGAGAACACACTGATTTGTGCTGTATGTATGCTGATTTGAATGATCACACTTAAAAATGATGGTTCTTTGAGTTCTTTAGTAAAGATAATGGTTCTATTCTGAACCATGAACACTCAAAGAACCGTTTGCTTGCCTAGATGGTTCTTTGTAATGTGAAATCAGATTGATGGAGAATGTGTTATTCTATATAGAAAGAGTTCTGCTGTTCTTACAAGCTTGACATCATAACAGATGAGCCACTTTGATGCTAAATACAGCAAATTCTCCATCAATCTGAAGAACCATTCCACCACGTAAAGAACATTTAAGCACGCAAAAGGTTCTTTGAGTGTTTGGTGTGTTGTTTGGCTCAATATAAAACCATTGTTTTTACTAAAGAACCCTGAAAGAACCATCGTCTTTGTAGATATTGAGCAGATTGCACTATTTTAATCCTATACACCAGTTAAAATGGTTCTTTAAGGGTTCTTTGTCAAAGAAAGTAGTCAAATGTAGAACCGTGAACACCCTGAAGCCCATTTTGAATGCATGCTTGGTTAAATGATTGTATGTGGTTCGTTTAAGCATTTAAAAGTGTTTCTATACAGCACCAGAAAAGGTTCATACCTATCGTGACACTATATAATGCCCCTTTGTTAAGAGTGTAGTATTCTTTCAGTTTACGGAACCTAATCAGAATCCGTGTCCGTCTCAGGAACCGCAGGCAGCTGTTAATAATCTCCAGCTGAAGCTGATGGGAGTTAATGACCGAGCCCTTTTATTTACAGCAGTGTCAGTTCATGGCGTGTGGTTTAAAGGTATTTTAGCTCCTATAAATGAAAGAACATGTCATCACTGTCCAAAGAAAACCTGGTCTCTCCAAAATAGTAAGTTTACAGGAGAGGGCAAAAACACTCTTACCTTTCAATGTAAGTCAATGTAAAGAGATTTTATTCCAAGTGATTTTAGAGCACTTCTATTGGTCCATACATCATAAAAGGAGAACTGGTGTTTTGAAATAATGTAAAAAATTTAAAAACAACAAAAATGGAGATACATGGTTTTCTTTGGACAGCGACAATACATAAACCATTCCACCCATTTTTGGATTATCAGTTATTTTGTTTTCTATTTTATTGTTTATTAAAATATCCTTACAGTATAAATATGTTTTGCTTTTTTATTTATGATTGTTTATATTGTTAATTTTTGTGAATAGAGTTTATATGAAGGAAAGAGTTTATATTTTTTATCTTATCTTTTATCTTTATATTTGTATCTTTTGTATTATATATTGTCTTTACAGCGATAAGTAACAAACTGTAACTGTGTTAAGTAATTAATAAGGTTAATTATTCTCTTCTTGTTACTCTTTTCTTGAGTGCTTTGATCTCCCTTTGCTGCAGTAGCACTGTGAATTTCCCCGCTGTGGGGCTAATAAAGGATTATCTTATTTTGTACAACCTTTAACATCAAAAAGACAAAATATGCTTTATTTACATTTTAGTGACCCTCGTCAAACAGAGCCAAACCGTATATGATACCTGTCACATATACTGTTTTTACTCATTTATCAACCTATTCTCCACCTGCTGCATCTGAATAACACGGTCAGTTACCACAGACAGTAGCTGACGCTTCCCTGAACTGAGAGAAGAACAGAAAAGCCACTGGTGTGAAACTCAGAGTAGAATCTGATGGCAGCTGGAGGAAAAGTGGAGAAACTGGAATATTTACTTTACACCCTCGGTTGTGCTGTGGTAACGTGATATCAGCGGGAAACGTGATGACACCTGGATGATAAAGCAGGATGTGATTCTGAGCTCTGAGCTGAATGAGCTGACAGCTTCAGCTCTGAACCTCACTTTAGATTTGCGCTGGTGTGATAACCGAGAGGGGCGCGAGAGTGAAGTAGCGCTCATTCACTGTCTGTCTCAATGAGGCTACAGGTGTTTTCTGTCTAAGCTGTCTGTCTTTTTTGATTTGTTTGTTTTTAGAAAAGTAAACCCTCGATCTGTTTACACTGAACTCATTTTTTAACTTAGTTTTTTTGCTCCATTTACTTAATTCACAACTGCGTGATCCATTATAGTATGATCAAATCGGAGGGGCTAAGACTCGTTCTCCATTCTGAGTGTATTCTGCCAGTTTTTTTCAGATTATTGGCAAATTTTTCCAGCATGACTGATGACTAATCCACCTAGCCAAGCACCAGTACCTAAAGCGATAGTACTCCATTACAGAGGGTCAGGTTAAAATATTATATCATGATACTTTATGACATTTTCACAAAGCACAATATCAGTCATGATATTAAGTTTATCTGAAATGCATTAACAGACAATATAGAACCTACATGCTACATAGAAAAATACAACAATAATAATAATAATAATAATAATAATAGAATTGATACTACTACTACTACTACTACTACTACTACTAATAATAATAATAATAATAATTATTATTATTATTATTATTATTATTATTATTATTATCTCTGTCCTGCAATGGACTGGTGGCCTGTCCAGGGTGTATCCTGCCTTCCACCCAATGACTGCTGGGATAGGCTCCAGCTCCCCCCGCAACCCAGAAAGAGAAGCAGCGTAGATGATGTGTGTGTACGATAATAATCTACAAATACAATTTTTATTTATGTTTTATAAACTGTGCTGCACTAAATCCAGTTAAACAGGCCTAATTCTGCTCACTCTGTACTGAAACATGTAGTTAGTCAGTGTTCTTTAAGTACTGACCATATACACGATACACTCACAAAGTGTATCTTGACATACTTTATCATAATAAAGATAAAATATCATCATATTGCCCCTTATTTCTGCATTAGATTTGATCTGGAGCTATGGGGCTAATGTAGCTAACTGGATCATTATGCTGACACCAATTAGCACAGAGCAGAGGTGGAAAATATTTATTTTGGAGGATTTGTACTTCACTCGAGTACTATTGGAACTGAATACTTGTCCTTCTACTCAATCACATTTCCAAGAAAGAAAACATGCATACATTTTAATTTAGACTTTTAAAACACTCATTCCGGATCTCAAACGGCCAGCGGGTGTTTTGCTTTTTAATTTTTTCTGTCAGTTGATTTCCAGCCCATTTTAATTCATATTTTTATTAAAGCATTCAGCCAAATTCAGGTGTAAAATCAAACTGCTCACATGCTAGGACATTTGTTCTATGTACCAGTACCATTAGTTTTACTTTTATATGTTTATGTTTAAATGTTGACACTTTCTGACTTTCACAGAAGTATATTTCTGGCTCTGTACTTCCTCTTTTTACCTGACACAGTGCCCACATTTTCACTGTCCAGTTTCTTTGTGCTTTTTACACTCCTGGCATCATGTATGCCTAAAATATTACTTGTTTTTAGCAATAAGCAAATATGCTTATTAATAGGCTTATTTGCATAGCAGCCTGTTTCTAGTAGTATGTCATTCAGTCAAACACAGGCGCCATCTCATGGTGTAGAGTAGAAAATACAGTTGTGTCCAAGCAGCATTGCAGTTTTTAACTCTGTCTCTCTCTCTCTCTCTCTCTCTCCCTCTCTTTCTTTCTCTCTCTTTTTAGAGACAGAAAGTGATGGCCCCCAGCGTCCTCAGCACAGCCACACAAACGTGTTTACGGAGGACAGTCGACCAAAGTATGTAGAGGATCTGCTCACAGAGGCTCAGCAGGGCTTAAAGCAGCTGCAGCGGGATGGTATGTTCTTACCTTCTGAACGCAGAGAGAAAGAGAGAGAAAGAGAGTGAGAGTGAGAGAGAGAGAGAGTGTGTGAGAGAGTGAGAGTGAGGGAGTGAGAGAGAGAGAGAGAGAGAGAGAGTGTGTGAGAGAGAGAGAAAGAGAGAGAGTGTGTGTGAGAGAGTGAGAGACAGAGAGAGTGAGAGACAGAGTGAGAGACAGAGTGAGAGACAGAGTGAGAGACAGAGAGAGAGAGTGAGAGTGAGACTGAGAGAGTGAGTGAGAGAGAGAGAGAGACAGAGAGAGAGACAGAGTGAGTGAGTGTGAGTGAGTGAGTGAGAGAGAGAGACAGAGAGAGTGAGAGACAGAGTGAGAGACAGAGTGAGAGACAGAGAGAGAGAGAGAGAGACAGAGAGAGAGACAGAGTGAGTGAGTGTGAGTGAGTGAGTGAGTGAGAGAGACAGAGTGAGTGAGTGTGAGTGAGTGAGAGAGAGAGAGAGTGTGAGAGAGAGAGAGAGAGAGAGAGAGAAAGTGAGAAAGAGAGAGTGAAAGAGAAGCTAGTGCCAAACATCTCAAACAGATTTGCATTTGGTAAACAAATTTTGTGATTATCCTCATTGTGCACTGTGCGTAAATTTATTTAAATGTGTTAAAGGGAACGTATCACAGAAAACTGAATTTTTTTTTTAAATAAAGAGATCTGTAAATATTGTTGGAGTTTCAAACCGTACCACTCACTGCCCAGTCCAAAAACAGCCCCCTGTAAAATCAATAGGCCTCATTCACCAGTATCTAAGTATCTATCTATAAGATCCTAAGAAAAAGTCTCCGTCAGGTTGGTGACGTGTTCTTAAAGCGCAGAACTGTTCTCACCTTTGTGCTCTTGAGTGTGTTTAGATTCTGTTCTTACCTCAGAACAAACCCCACATAAGAGAATCGTGAGTCAGAATCTTCGTCAAAACTGCGTGAGAACGGATGGGCCCAAAGTTCGTCACATGAACCAACCAACATTTACGCACAGTCAGTCCACCTATCCAGCCTACAGCAGTTTAGCCCCGCCCACTCTTATTGAAGTTCTAAGGAGTGTTTCAGCTCTGAGTGCTTTTTAAAAGAGGCACAAAACAGGGCAGCCAATCAGAAGAGAGCTAATTTACTCACAAAAACAGCCTGTTTGATACTAAAAGCTAAAGAGAGGTTGGAAAATGATCATATAGAAATTAATTATGATTGTTTTTGCATAAAAGTTATGGTTATATACATAAATCCACACACATTATGAGGGAAAAAAAGATTTTAATAACAGCCTTTTTTTGATATTGCAGAAAACAAAAATGGGGTGGACTTTCAGGATGACCAGAGTGTCATTGTAAGTATTCTTTACAGAACATCACATTTTTTAACAGTGATTTATTGATAAAATTACTAATGTAATATCAACAATTTAAATGACTAATCTGATATAAACGTCTCTAACTAACTAATGAAAAACACCCCTAAATACATCATCTGAAAGGCGTGGATGTCAGTGTCAGTTTGCGCATTGTCTTTCTCGTGTACAATGCATTATGGGAGTTTATGTAGTGATTATCACCTTTCCCTGCAGTCGACCATGACGGCTCGTACTGACGACGATGTGAGCTTCAGTGAGCTGAGGATGTCTGAGTCTGAGAGCACCGCCGCTGATACCATCTCAACACGTTCCACCATCTCCTATCAGTCCTCACGGTCTGGACTCACACGCCAAGGTGACGGTTTCATCTCGCTTTCAACATCGGGGCACCTGGACGAGTGCTAGATTCTGCAGCGTTGAGTTAGAAGTAGTGTGGCCATGTAAAGTCACGTAAATCTGTTCAGTACAGAGCTACAGCTCGGCCTAACATGCTTAGATGGCTAATGAGGAATGGAAGTAGTAGCCATCAATTAGCATGACTCTACTTGCAGTTGTTGGCTATTCACTTTAATGATTTAATTTCTTTTGAATAAATCTGTATAATCATAAAAATGTCAACATCCAATATAAATATGTTTAAATATGTTTGCATTTTCCAGAAGTTAGCAAATTTAATGAAGGCTTAGCTCCGCCCACACTAGGCACAGTCACTTTCATGCCATATATATATATATATATATGGCATATATATTGCTTTCTGAAGACTATAACTAAACCAAATATTTTATTATGTAATATTTCCTATGTACTAATAGCAGTATGCACACAATTGATGCACATTATTTCAGATCTCACTGCTGTCTTGAGCCCAATTTGTAAAGTCATTTTTCTAAAAATCAGCTTTTCTCTGCATTCAGAACCATTTCCAGAAAACATTCATGAAGCTTTACTTTCCTAACCCAATCCTGATGGATTTCCTAATACAGGGACTATATTTGTGCTAGGTTTTTGTACTTCTAAATTACCTGAAATTGTTTTAAAATATCATTGCATAACATTAAAACAAGATTTCAACAATCTATCTGGTAACACAGTTCTTGAGGATGACTTCACAATGAAATAATATTTTAATTCTAATATCATCCTAAGGCTAGATTTTTGGGATTTGTTTGTGCATATTTAAGCAGATATGCATATCTAAATGTAACCTTTAGCTAAACTTTAAATACCAAAAAATACTTGTAAGAATATTAGTAATCAACCAACAAGGAATTATTGTGATATCTATTGTTTTTTTAATAAATGGCCTTTCATTCTTCACTGTAATAGATATGCAACTTAATGTAATGTCAGTAGATACTGAGTAATTTACAGTAGTTACTGTATAAGAAGCCATAAAATTATTTGAATATTAAGTCAACAGTCTTAAGAAAGATGTTTCTATATAGCACTAATAGCACTATATAGCAAAAAGGGTTCTATGTAGCACCAAAAAGGATTTTTTGTTTTGGTACAAGCTTGACATTGTAACAATAGTAGAATCATTTTTGTTGCTGTATAGAACCATTTTTAAAAAGGTTCTTTATAGAACTATACACAACACACTGCCCATCAATCTGAAGAACAATTTCACCATGAAAAGTGCTGTTTAATCATGCAAATGGTTCTTCAAGTGTTGATGGTTCTATATAGAACCATTGTCTTTCTAAAGAACCCTTGAAGAACCATCTTTTTTAAGAGTGGAGAGTTTAATGCCTGATCGATTACGTTGCTAACACTAACACTTTCTTCGTATTATCCTGGTCATCGTATATGAAATATTGCTTTGGTAATGTTGATTACAACGTCATTACAAAGGACATATTGAGTTATTATTCATCCCCATGTGGTCCTCGTTTTGCAGCTTCCACCTTCAGACCACTGAAACAGGATAAGAAGCCAGGAAAGAGCCGATCCAAAGGAAAACACAGAAGTACAGTGACGGGAATTCCTCGACACGTACAGAAAGAACTGGGTATGTTTTGCTACACTTGTTTTACCAGGAAACAGAAATCCTTCAATATGTGACCATTAATGTCCTGTATGTTTTTATCTGACAACTGTAGGTCTTGACCGAGCTGCGTGGACAGCGTCCCAGTTCACTGATGCTCAACTGACCAATGGAGGTGTGATCATATCGACCGTTGTTCCCACTCTGGATAGCATATCGATCTCCTCAGAACAAGGAGCCCAGATGTATCTCCGGAACCTTCAAGCTGTTGAGGAGGATGAGCCAGATCTCCCTCCAGTGGATAGACAGCAGGATGACCTTTCGCTCATCCAGCACCTTCTACCCCAGTCTTTGGATCCACAGAGGCCTAGATCGCTAGCTGTTCCCTGGATGACCACAACAGGCAGCCACCCACCCAGCCCAGTGATGTATGTCTCCCCCCAGGCCACATATCTTTCTAAGATCATCCCCAATGCGATACTGCCTCCTGCCGTAGATGTGGTGGAGCTTAGCCGCAACAGAAGTCGCAGCAGTGTTCGTATGGTGAGTAAAAGCAGCCTGGCGTCAGCTAGCCCAGCTTCCACACGGGCTTCCTCTCGGATCTCTTCACGGGCCTCTTCCCGGATGTCCTCAAGAGCTTCCACCCGTCGCACAGATTTCTCTGGCTGGAGCCGCTCTGGATCTTCCGAGACACTGGTCTCAGACTCCTCCACCATTTCCAGCAGTAGCACTCCTCGTGTGGCCAGTAGGGCAAGTCAGGAAGAGGATACAGATGGACCTCCAAAGGCCAACATTAAGAACAATCCTGGTGCCCGAAATATGACCGTTTTTACTAAGCCTGCTCAAGCGAATGATGACTCTTCAGAGGAGGACACCTGTAAGAAGTCAGAGACTTTCAATCGCAGCCTGTCTGTAGTTAAAAAGAGCAAGAACCCTCCACCTCCCCCAAATCGTTCATACTCCCTGCACAAACGACGTCATGGCAATCCTCAGAATGGCACCCCAACTGTTCCATCTAAAGGGTTCCACGCTTCTAGCACGGATGGTCAGAGAGCAGTGCTAGCAGAGCTAGAGATGAGGAAGAAGAATGTTCAAGCAACCAAGATACCCCATTCACACACCAATGGGGAGAGTCACATACCCAAGGATTCCCCATATTCTATCAACAACATACCCTCTAATGGTGTTGTTCTTTCCCCAGCTCTCAAGAGTCTCTTTGACATTCCGGCTCCTCCTAAGGTACTAGCACCTCCACCACCCCCTCCAGAGACATGGGCACACAACCAGCGCACCTTTGAACTCCTGTGTGGTCCTGGACCTGTCAACCTTGAGCGATGGGCCCAAAAGCGAGGTCTGAAGTTTGAACCGCCAACCAAGAAGGCTCCAGTAAAAATACCAGATGCTGTTAGTGCATCCTCAACAACAGAGTCAACAGAGATAAACAATAAGTTTGTGTCCTCAGTTACTGAGAAATCTGAACCACATACAGAGAAATTCCAGGGAAGTCTGTCAACAAACAGGATGAAGGATAGCAGTTTATCAGCCATGGTTTCAGAGATTCAATCCAGGACTTCTAAGATGCCCAAAGATGTCCAGCCTCCTCATGGTAACGGACTATCTGTGACCAGGCTTACTAAGATCAATCCGTCCCCTTCTCCTTCACCACCCCCTGAACATCTTCCTCCCCTGCCCCCTGTAAACACAGTTAAACCCCCAAAAGAAGATGTATCTTCCTCAAAAGCCCAGTTCAGGACACCGTTCGATGAAATCATATGTCCCCCTCCTCACCCTATGTTCCCACCACCTCCGCCTCCTATGAATGTACCTGCTCCACGTCCTCCAGTTGGGAAGGATGAAACAGACTTCCCTCCCCCACCTTCACCATTTTCCCCAAAGACATTGCAAAATATGCCTCCATTACCACAAGATGCACCACCAGCAGGAGATAAAGCTCCATCAACACAGAAGATACCATCTCCTCCACAAGAAATCCCACCTCCTCCCCAGGTTCCCCCACCTCCTGCCCAGGCTCCCCCACCTCCTGCCCAGGCTCCCCCTCCTCCTCCACAGGCACCCCCACCACCTCCACAGGCACCCCCACCGCCTCCACAGGCACCCCCACCTCCTCCACAAGCTCCCCCACCTCCTCCACAAGCTCCCCCGCCTCCTTTGCAATCTTCACCACCTCCTCCACAGGCACCCCTGCTAACTCGACAAGCTTCCCCGCTTCCTCCACAGGCTCACCCTCCCCCTCCACTGGAAGTATCCTTAGCTCTAGCTCAGAGCACCACACCACAGCAGATTAAAGTCCCTCCACCACCTCCGTTACCCACAGATCTCAAAAAAGAAGTCAAACCAATACCAAATGACAAACATGAGAAACCGCAGCCTCCCCAGACCACCAACTCTGCTGCAACCAAAGAAGAAACCCCTACCCCTATGGTCACACAGTCCCTGTTGCAGATGGTTCGTCTCAGGTCAGTAAAGTCCAACTCGAGCCAAGCTGAAGCCCCCATTGTACTTCCCAAACCCAAGCAGCAGAACACAGCAGTCAATCACGAGGCACCTCAAAAGCCGATCAGAAGATCTCTGATTATGACAGCACCACCTCCTGAGGTTGCCTCACTGTCTTCTACAGATCCAAAGGATGACACACAACCCTCTACCATCTCACAGGTAAACCAAGATACTGCCCCAGCAGCAAACTCCCAACCAGTAGCTGATTCAAAGATACAATCCAGTAACACTGTTCAAGATGCACCACAAGTACCACCTGAACCAAAACCTTTGCCTGATTCTGCTGACCACAACAGCGTCACTGACCAAAAATCCCAAAATGAGTCAGTGCCTGCTGGACCCATAATCCAACTACCCTCCAACAAAGCAGAGCCTGATCTCCCAAAGGATCAACCAGCCACCAATGGCATAAAGGCTAACACTAATGAGAAAGACACCCACAAAGAACCCAGTGAGTCTGAAGACAGACCGAGCACCACCTCGTCACAGTCACAGTTAGAGGTCACTCTGCCAATGTCCCAAACAGTCTCTCCCAAAGTTTCTCCAACCCGGAAGGTGCCTCCAGCGAGCATTCCTGCTTCGTCCATGCGTCTCCAGGAAGCGATTCGCCTGAAGACTGCTGCCATGTCCTCTAAAGACGGCCAAGCCAAGCACTTCAGCCTGCTTTCTCCTCCGCCATCAGCAGGGGGCAGCGGTGCCCTCCACTCACCTTCGTCCACTGCAAACTTCATCTTCTCCAAGAGCACAAAGAAGGTTGTCATAGAAACACCCTCATCCCCAGAAAGGCAGGCGGATTTGAAGAAGACTCTGGTGTCCGAGTTGGCGTCTGTTTCTCAGACAACCAAACCGAGTGACTCGCTGAATAAAAGTGTAAAGGTTCCACCTCCTATTGCTAAGAAACCCAGCAGTAGGACTGAGAACACTGCCCAGAATTCTGCAGAGACTGGGACTAATGCTGAAACTGAGCATGTGCAAACTGCTGGTCAGCAAGCACAGCCAGAGAAGTGATGGTAAGACCTCAGGACTTTCTTGTTTCATACCTACCATGGCTAATGCTTACAAGATGTTTAGTTTTCTGTTTTTTTGCTTACATAGACATAAAACTCAATTAGGGGCTCTACATTAAAGGGGAATTCAAACAATTCTGTATAATTAAGTAGTTAAAATGTAAACAGAGCGGTTCAGAGTGGTTTGGTGTGAGACACTCTGTTCTAGAGAAACTTGGTCAGAATTGTTTACAGTGGTGGTGATAGGAACCTCTAAAAGGGGGACAGTTTAGAGAAGATTTTGGTCAAAAATGTATAAATTTTTAAATCCATTCATGGCGGAGGGATACATGCAGGGCGCTGTGAGGCAAAATAGTCCCCAAAGAAAACTTATTATTTCAGATTTTCCATCATCAACATTCCATATAGACTCAGAAGACTCGTGTAGGTTCACTGGTGGTTTTGATAGTAAATAAAATGTCTATATTTGTGTTGTAGTCATGGTGACCCCTGGTTCCTATCACCACCACTGTAAAGATTTCTGAGTCAAACTGCTTGGCATGCCTTTACATCTTAAATGCAGAATTTTAAACATTATTGGAATTCAGCTTTAAATAATAAAGTATGTCATACTGAGCTTAGTAATGTGTAATATGTCAGTTATTTTGGTTTGTAAAGGAGAAATAACATCTCCTACAAACTCTTCTATACTCTCACATAAAGTGTCTATCTGAACAAAATCTTGCATCTCAGAAATGGTAACTGTACTGAGAAACAATGATCTTAGTTTTTAATGTAAGTTAATGTAACAAGATTAAGAGTAAAATCATCATGAAGTGTCCACAGAATATAAAAAGTTGCTGATGTTTTCAAATGGTGGAAAAAAAAATGAAAGCATCCCAGTCACATCCCTATTATTCTGCATGAAAGAATGAAAATGGATTGCAATTTGAATTTAATACCTAAATAATTTGCATCAAGAAAAATATTTGAGAATAAAACAACAATTAATTACATACTACTTAACTACTAATATTCTTATATCATAAAATATTTTTCCTCCAGTTTCATGACAAACAAAAACTACATACCCTAACGGCCTCTTGGCTTTGCTCCAACAGCTGCATATGAATAAATGAAATGTTTTAATGAATTTCTCCCTGTTGTCCAGTAGGTGATGGACGGTGCAGCCACAGACTCTATTGTGTCTACAAAGTTGATGAAACCAGTCCGTGATGGGAGCTGAGCGGCTGGAGCCACTAGGTGGAGCTCTACACTGAGAGGAGAACTGGAAGAGTGATGAGACTGAGCTTCCAGTGAGAGAAAAGTCGAGGAATGTGAAATGAATGGTGTGAAAAAGAAAGTAAAGAAAGAGAAAAGTGAAGAAAAAGAAAAGAAGGACACGGAGAGGAACGAGGAAGAGTGAACGAGAGAAAAGGAACGATATGCTGTAGATAAAGAGGCTGAATTTGGCTCCCTGAGTTTTCCACCTTAAATGCGTCAGAATGTACCTGCTGCACCATTTAAGGTGGAACAGGAAACGTGGAATAAGCAAGTTGTTGTAGCTGGAATGCTGAGTGTAGAGGACTGGAGAGGAAGTAATCCAGCAGTATAAACCAGCTTTTGAGTTTCTGCAGAAAGGTGTTGGTACGTTTCTGTCTTACTGAGACGATTTATTTTCGTTCTGTAAATAATTTAAAACTACTGCCCAGAACTAAAGGTCTATTGAATGGACCTTTCTTTATATTCTTCATGTTTGATTTTAATATATGATGTTTCTTTTGTGCACTATGATCCTGTATCTGGGGAATCACTGATTTAACGCAAATGCTTCTAATTTCTTTAATCTCTGATGTATTAAATCTTTATATGTCTAACTTATTGTTTCTAAAGAGTCCAGAGTGGACACTGCAGACTGTTAAAGTGCTCTAAAAACTTACTGACCATAAGATCTCCAATAATTTTGCTCTAAGCTGTTTTCTCCTGCTTGTTCTTTCAGTTGTGATTGATGATTTGATTGAATGCAGGTCTGGTTCAGTAATAACATGCATTTCTGTCTCTGAGCTGTGTTTGTGCTGAGCTGGAGACCAAAATAACCAGATTCACTGTACAGATGAGAGAGATCTAATTATTAATGAGGTAAATAAGCTCAGAATCAGAGCAGAACTTTGACCTGCTGGGTTTCTGTGTTCACAAGAACGTCTCTCCTGTTTTAAGAGCACCTTATAATCACCACTCTGTCATAACATGGACACTGGATTATATCTGCTTTCAGACTGTATAACAGCACATTCTGCAGTCTTCAACATTAAACATGTACATATTAACCACAGCTCACACGGTCCTGACTCTTATTTTGCTGAAAACATAGGAGTACTTTAAAGGGGGATTCCACTGTTTTTTTTAGGTTCTCGCGTAATTAAGTGGTTAAAATATAAACAGAGTGGTTTGTGAAACGCTCTGTTCTAGAGAATAGGAACCAGACGTCCACCTCTAAAAGCTCCCTCTCAGAAAGTTCCTACATGAAATGGTTATGAATTCACTGCCTGATGACTGAGACACTGTTTTATGATAGCTTTGAGAACTTAAACTCCATTCGTGGTGGAGGGATACATGCAGGGCGCTGTGAGGCAAAATAGTCCCCAAAGAAAACTTATTATTTCAGATTTTCCACTATTTTCCATCATCAACATTCCATATAAACTCAGAAGACTCGTGTAGGTTCACTGGTGGTTCTGGATAATAAATAAAGTGTCTATATTTGTGTTGTAGTCATGGCAACCCCTGGTTCCTATCACCACCACTGTAAAGACATCTGGTAAAGAAACCAAACCACTCTCTCTGATTATATCTCACACACTGAGTTATGGGGGAATTTTGTGTATTTTTAATTCCCCTGTAATTGCTATTCATAATGAAATTGGATAGAGGAAATCCTTTTTATAGTCTCTCCTGCTTTGTAAGTATCAGTTAGTTTCATTTTTCACTTTTTATTTTAAAAATCATGAGAATATTTTGCCAGGGATGCACAAACACACTGCCATGCCCTAAAGTTTGTGTGGCCCAGGCTAAATTCCGCATCCTCTACAGGGAACAAAGTTCTCCATAATTTAATATGCAAATTGTGTTTATTTACTGAATTTAACATATTTAACATATTCTTTCTTCATGAGCTGCGTTCCTCCTTTCTGTAGCCAAAGCACTCAGTACTGCAGCTGTAAATGTCCAGTTTAGAGAACAGCACAGGGGTCAGATCTGAGCAGAACTTTTATTCAACCTGCAGCCAAAACACAGACACGTCAGTCTGACCTTTAACCTCATTATTTTTTTTCATACATTTACACCAACATTTCACACGGGACTGACCATCACACTGATACACCAGACCAGAACAGCCACTAAAGGAGAAGTACAACCTTGTTGGTGGAAGCAACGAGAAGAATTGAGCAAGAAAAGTTTGTGGTGAGCAGTCAAACCAAAACAGTCAGTAGGGTCAGGGGAACTTAAATAACTTACAAAACTGACCCCCTCATTTACATAAAATCTCTATTATATAAAAATCACATTCATTTTCCGTCACAATGTAAAGATGTTGATCTTCTCACTGAACACAGTGTAATAGCTGAAGAGCTACAGTGAGTTATAGTTATTAGAGTTTATCCTGCGCTGTAAATAAACTAATGAGGAGTGTAATGAGAGCTGATAATCACAGAGGGAAACGCTGAAAACTGGTGGTGTTGCCCTTTCAAACAGACCCTCTCTGCTCAGACTAGCAGAACTGAGCGGTGTGTGTGTTCTGTGTGTGATGATCTGTTCAGTTTGAGTATAAATGAGCAGTTTTATTAGTGATGATACAGATTATTATTGATCTGATCTTAAGATTAAAGCTGACTGACTGACCACAAACTCAACAATGAGAATTTAGACACTTTTTCCACTACAATTCTGGAGTAGCTGTGTTTAAACATTACATATTAGTAAACAAACTAACATCCACATTAACTAATTAAACTGCAGGTGCCTTGTGGAACACACTTGGTTATACTTGTGAACTGTGCAGGAAAAATAGTGACAGTGCAGTGCTACAAGCAATCATTTGATCACCACACATTCTGTAGAAGATGCAGCCATTAAGTGACACACTTCACACTTGAACTATAGCTTGAAATAAAGGGCAATATTAATCTTCATATTTATACATTACAACCATTAACATGCATCATCCATACTGCGTACCAGCCTTATTACCTGTAATACAAACAAATACCATCACTGACATTGTTTTCAGCTTACCAAGTTTCAAGTTTATTTGTCATTTGCACAGCATGTCAGGACATTTATGCATTGAAATATTTGTGGAGAGGCTCAGATAATCACACTACAGAAAGTAAAAATAAAAATACAAGAAAAACAAACTGAAATATATTAAATATACGCAAAATATAGAGACAATGCACATTTTAAGCGACTTAAGTGTTATTGTTA